AATTGCTCAGCCATAAAAGTCATTTGCTACTCTGTGACATACAAGTGCCAACAAGCAAAAAGAAAGTGTGTACAAGACAGACTTAGAAAGGCCCTCGAAGCTTAAGTTTGCAAACGGCATGACAGAGATGAATGAAGGGCAGTTCTTTCGAAGTGTGTTCTGTGGATTCACAAGGGCAATAATGCTGTTTTCAACTCAAGTTTGGTAAAAAATCTTTCAACTTAATCTTCAAAAAGAGCAGTGGAAATCATAGACATGATAATTACATGTATGAGTGACAGGGCCAGGTGCAGTAGCTCATGCCTGTAACCCCAGGAGTTTGGGAGTCTGACGCAGGAGGATTGCTTGAGCCCAGGAGTTCAAGACCAGCCTGAGCAACATAGGGAGACCCTCTCTCTATAAAAAAATACCCCTCCCCCCAAAAAATTAGCTGGGCATGGTGGCATGCGCCTGCAGTCCCAGCTACTTGGGAGGCTGAGGCAGGAAGATTGCTTGGTCTGGGAGGTTGAGGCTGCAGTGAGCCATGATTGTGCCACTGCACTCCAGACAGGACGACACAGTGAAACCTTGTCTTAGACAAAAGCAAAAACAAGTATGAATGACAGAGTCATCCAATTAATAAAGATGTGCATTAGTGAGGCACAATAAAACTGGCATATTTTCTATTTGGATTGACATTACTCAAAACATAAGGACATACAGACAATAGATAATACCTCCAACTTTTTGTAGGGGGTTGCATCTTATACTAAATAAAATCAGAGAGGAGTGAAATAACACAGCATGGTAGGAAAATCTAGGTTTTCAGTCAAGCAGGACTTAATCTCTCTGAGACTCAATTTCCTCACTGGTAAACAGGGACTTACCTTGCGGGACTGTATAAAAACAACACCACATGAAAAACACCTACAAAGGATCACTCAATAAATGGCAGCTACTCATGTTACTGGTAAGCTAGTATTTTCGGATATAAGCAGGGCCAGGCTGGTTGGAAGGGAGAGGAGATAAACTTGGTGGGGTGCAAAGGATGGGAAAAATGGGAGGCTGTCAGAAGGGCAGCAGCTGATACTCAAACCTGAAGACATTCACTCTATAAACCAGGTAAGACTCCCTGGGCTGCCTCAGCAGCTGGTGCACTGCTCTGAGCCCTACTGGATCAGGACAATTCCCAATCCTGAGTCATCAAAAATAATCTACGGGCCACCTTTCCAGGTCACACAGGCACGTTAACACCAGAGTCAGCAACCTAGATTCCCTGAGCGTCTATCATGTGCAAACACCTCACTTGGGACCTGGCTCAAAGGATTTCAATCCTAGTTGAAAAAAGATATTTCTATATCCCAAGAGTTATTTTAAAAAGGGGGAGATGGGGAGAGCATCAGATTCCCTAATTAGAAAATCAGATATAGAAATGCAATTCATGCTTGACAAGTCAAGACAACAAAGTCCTGCAGGAATGTGAAGATCTTTAACAAGCACACACAGAGCTTAAGGCCAACGCAAAGCTGTCCACTCAAAGCAGGAGCTATGTGAGGTTGGACGGCAATTCCAGTGATGCTGAAATTGCTGGGAACATTTTTAATATGTCTTCTTTGGGACTACTTTTCGATTATCTTTTAACATCTTCAGAACTGCAACTCTTGCTTCTTTAAGGTTAAATTTAATTTTCACAATTAAAAAAAAAACACTTAGAGCTCAACCTGCTAAGATTGTATAATATTATTGAAAGTAAAAACAAGGTATGGTTCTGAAGCAATGAGACTGATTTTCCTGTGTTCGTAACCTACCTGTGCTCATCTGCTCCTTTTCCCACAGCTGTGTGGGGCTCATGCTAACGCTAATCCACAAATATTTCTGGCTTTTCACTTTCAGCACACATGGTAGGGTTGCACTGACTGATTCTCTTTAGTTGGGTGAAGCCATGTGCCCTGTTTTAGAAAGCTTCCACTTACATCTGGAAGATTGGTGGAAGATTTAATTGCTGGTGAAAGAGCTTCTCTTTCTCTTTCCCCTTCTCCCTCTGCATGAACCAGAAATGCTGGAAATGGTGGCTGCTTCATCAGCCTTGGGCCCTTGGCTGGGCAGAACCTTTCAACGTTTGATCCAGCTCTCAGTTGAGATGTAGCATGAGTGAGAAATAAACTTTTGTGGTCCTGAGCCACTAAGACTTGGGGGCTGATTGTTACTGCAGCATAACCTGGTCTATTCTGACTAATACAATGAAGTGGCAGCAGACCAGCAGTTCTCCAGCTCCTCGGGCTCTCATCAGGCTCAAAGACAGCACTGTCTGCCTTTCCCAGCTGTGGGGGTACATTCATCCTCCTATTGTCCTTTGTTATGGGTCACTTGAATAAAACAACAGTCCTTCAGTGGGTGAACGGTGAAACAAACAGCAGTATATCCACACCAGGGAATACTACTCACCAATAAAAAGAAACAACTCAGATTATCTCAAGGGAATTATGCTTTGTGGGAAAAAAAATGATTTACATATAACATTTTTGAAATGACAAAATTACAGATGATACAGGGTGGTGGCTGACAGGGCTTAGGGAGAGCAGGAGGAAGGGAGGTGGCTGTGGCTACAGGGGAGCAGCACAAGGGATCCTTGTGAGGGAACTGTCTTGCATCTTGACTGTGGTGGCTGTCACACAAATTACTCATGTGATAAAACTCCATAGAACTAATATACACCCACACATATGAGTGTAGGTAAAACTTGTGAAATCTGAACAAGGTCAGTGGATTTTATCAATGTTAATTTTCCAGCGGTGATATTATACCACAGCTATATACTATATTACTATCAGGGGAAACTGGGTGACACGGTTTGGCTGTGTCCTCACCCAAATCTCACCTCGAATTGTAATAATCCCCACATGTCAAGGGTGGGGCCAGGTGGAGATAACTGAATCATGGGGGCAGTTCATGCTGTTCTCATGGCAGTGAATAAGTCTCACAAGATCTGATGGTTTTATAAATAGGATTTCCCCTGCACAAGCTCTCTTGCCTGCCATCACCTAAGACGTCCCTTTGCTCTTCCTTCATCTTCCACCATGATTGTGAGGCCTCCCCAGCTATGTGGAACTGTGAGTCTGTTAAACCCCTTTCCTTTATAAATTACCCAGTCTCAGGTATGTCTTTATCGGCAGCATGAGAACGGACTAATACACTGGATGAAGGCTATGTGGATCTCTTTGTATTATTTCTAGCAATTGTGTGTGAATCTACAATTACGTCACAATGAAAAGTTTTTAAAATAATCTTCTTTGTTTAAAAAAAAGAAACCTTTTTACTCTCTATCCCCTTGTCCCAATTTATTTTATTTTCTTTAGAACACTTAACATTACCAAATACCACACATGTTTATTACCCATTTATTTATTTTTAGCCTTCTCTACTGATATATAAGCTTTATAAGGGTAGAGACTGGTTTGTTCTCTGTCTTCCTTAATCTAGAACACACCTAGCACACAATTGGCGCACAATACATATTCATGGAATAAGCTAATCAGTATGAAATATAGAATGAATGAAGGGGCACACCTCAGAGTGCTCTGCCGCACTTTCAACATTTCTGAAAGCTCTAAAACTTAAATATGACAATAGGTTTGACATTTTGCACATTTTCTAACTCCGAGAGTTATGACTCTCAGTGCAGAAATATTTATTTTATAATGACAGAGCTGTAACTCATCTTCCCAAGGACTTAATGCCTCCTTTGCTTTCAAGCCTCCAGAGATTCTCCCCTCCCTTGAGGAGACAGTATGGGCTGAAATAGATCACTGCATACAAGAATGTGTCTCCACTTGGATTCCACTTGGCAAGATAAATTCAGGGTCAGCTTCATGCGTGCTTTTAAACTCAGAAGAAAAATGCATAACAGTAGTAAAATAAAATGCTATATTTTAACTATCATAAGTTGCAGTTAAATAACTGCTTTCTTCTTTGGTCAAAAGCCTTATCTCAGTGAAGCTGAGTTTATTCTAAGGAGCCAATTAAATGCTCATCAAAGCCAAGCCAAGGGCAGGAACTTGAATTGTGAACCAAACAAAAGAACAAATTGTACTGATTTACTGGATCTGAAACCAAACCTTAATACAAACTGTTTACTGAAATATGAACCAGCTAAAGCTTGAGAGAACTTTTCAAACACACCTGATGATTCAGTCCAATCAAGTAACTTAACCTCTATATACTTAAAAGCTTTTGAACGGGCTCAAAAACTCAATTCACAAAACAAATCGCAGCCCCAACTTCAATGCAACAAACATTTCTTGACAATAATTGCAGAAAGAAGACATACTGGAAATGTGACCACAAACCCTCTTTTCCAAGTCAACATCATAATATGGTGAGTTTTAAAACAATCAAGCCTGCAATTACTTTTCAAATGGAGAATATCAGATCCTTTGGATCTACGTGTTTTGTGCAGAAGGAGGAAGGCGGAGTTAGGGGTTCAGAATTATAAAGGAACAGGAAAGGATACAGGTGAAAGGCACGAGTGAGGCTGGGCACGGGGACTCACGCCTGTAATCCCAGCACTTTGGGAGGCCGAGACGGGAGGATCATGAGGTCAGGAGATCGAGACCATCCTGGTTAACACGGTGAAACCCCGTCTCTACTAAAAAATACAAAAAACTAGCCGGGCGAGGTGGCGGGCGCCTGTAGTCCCAGCTACTCGGGAGGCTGAGGCAGGAGAATGGCGGGAACCCGGGAGGCGGAGCTTGCAGTGAGCCAAGATCGCACCACTGCACTCCAGCCTGGGTAACAGCGAGACTCTGTCTCAAAACAAACAAACAAACAAAAAGGCACGAGTGCCTGTTGAGAGACGGGAAACCCAACCACTCCTTGACACTTCGATTTAACACTAGAAAGAAATTTACAATCATGGGATAGACATAACACCATTGCTGCAAAACAAATACTGTTTCACAGGTGGACCCGAACTGGTCACAACAGAAGTCCTGAACCGTGATCTAGAACAGCAGGTGCATTACCTGTGGAGAGCTGAGTGGGGAGGGGGTTCATTTCTTTGTCCACCATCTTCTGGTACAAAGCCCTCAGGCTGAAAGGCTCCACTGTGAAAGGCAGCGTCCCGGTCAACATGGCATACATGTTCACGCCTCTGAAAAGAGAGACATACACACGAAAGTGGAGTCAGGTCCCCTGGGGAGGGGAAGACACTGGAGACATGGGCTTCACCGAAGCACGAGAGCTGCTGCTTCCATGCCAACCTCAACAGGCCCTCTTCAAAGCCATCTTTGTAGAACGCTCAGTGTCACGTTCAAAGAGTTGGGTGAGGCCGGGCGCGGTGGTTCATGCCTGTGATCCCAGCACTCTGGGAGGTAGATCACCTGAGGTCAGGAGTTCGAGACCAGCCTGTGTAGCGCCTCCATCCCCAACCCCTGCCTCATCAGCCTGGACCACTACCTGCTCATCCCCTCGCTGCTGTGCTGCAAGCTGTGCATGAAGCCCCTGCACACCCTGGCACCCATCTCTAGTAAAAATACAAAAATTAGCCAGGCGTGGTGGCAGGTGCCTGTAATCCCAGCTACTGGGGAGGCTGAGGCAGGAGAATCACTTGAACATAGGAGGCGGAGGTTGCACTGAGCCGAGATCGCGCCATTGTACTCCAGTCTGAGCGTCAAGAGTGAAATTCCACCTCGACAAAAGAAAGAGAGAGAGCGACAGAAAGAAAGAAAGAGAGAGAGAGGGAGGGAGGGAGGGAGGGAGGAAGGAAGGAAGAGAGAGAGAAAGAAAGAAAGAGAAAGAGAGAGAGAGAGAAAGAAAGAAGGAAGGAAGGAAGGAAGGAAGGAAGGAAGGAAGGAAGGAAGGAAGGAAGGAAGGAAGGAAGGAAGGAAGGAAGGAAAGAAAGAAACAAAGAAAGAAACAAAGAGAAAGAAAGGCAGGCTTGGGTGAGAGCACTTGAATGTGAAGACCCAGAAGGCAACCACAGAGAAAAACAGGAGTTTCAAGAGCGTCAGGAACCACCTCCTGAGGAGGGGAACCATGGCCCTCTGCTCTCTCCAAATGCTATGGCAGGAAGAAGTCAACAGCAAGGAGGCCCAGACCAAGCAATGTAAGAAACACCTGGGAGACGTCAGGGACCTCAATTAAGAGTAGTATTGCCATTATGCGGTTTTCCAAGGATGGCTTACAAGGTGGTACCTGGAAAAGGCTGACCAAAAAACACAGGAAAAGCCCCCCACACCGGAATCTCCTGTCACAGCCAAACTGTGAGCCAGGTTACCACTCAGCCCTCAGAAACGAAGCCTCATACCAAAACCCAGTGTTTTGCTCTACTCTTAAATTTTGCTGTGGCTTGTAACTAGAGAAATTTCTGGGGAGGTCCCCTTCCTTCCTGTCCTGATTTTTTTTATTGTTCATTGTGAGATTCTGCCACCTGGCCCCAACCCAACATCTCAGATGTGGCTGAAATACCTTCTGAATAAGCTTAACTGCCCCTATCCAAAGCCAATCTGAGAACAGAAACATCTTCTTAGAGGATTTTTATTTTCCTGATGTGCAAATCTAACATCGTTGTGATGAGATTTCCTGATGGGGATGAAATGTCTGCCTACCAAGAGGTCTCAAGTGTTCAAAAGCTCCCAAGGGAATATATACTTTATAAACAGGCACTAAGATTTCCAGTCAAAACAAATCCAATGAGACTGATTGAAATTAAGACCCTCGAGGCCCAATTCCAAGGCAGCCCCCTCTGAATTATGGCATTTCAGATAATGACAGGTACTGGAGCCCACAGCTCCCGCTAGAAATCATTTGCTAATTTCAGACCTATACTAAGACCTGGTTCCCACTCACAGTGGAGTTAGTGGGACAGATGCATAAACAGTCATTCCACAAATACTTGCTGGATGGCTCTCTGCCCCAGGCAAGACTATAGGTGCTGGGTACTGGGGAGCAGAGAAAGACCTGCCCTCTTGGGGTTTGAGTGGGGAAGAAGACAGGCAAGCAACATGCGAACAAATAAATGAGCACAGTCCTTTCAGGGAGTGATCAGTGCAAAAGGAATAAGAAATGCTGAATTGCACCACTTTTGACCACAAGAGGAGTTCAATGAAGGGAGAAAGAGAACTTAGAAACAGGTATATAAAGAGGGGACGACACGCAGGTAGTGACGCATGTGTGTGAGCTCATGTATCTTTGGCTGGCTGGTTGTGTGGCTGGAGAGATAAAAAGGGCATAAACAAACAAATGGAAACAAGAATGAACAAGGCACACACAGAGCTATTTGAGCAGCATTTCCCTGTGTGTGTTTAGTGGAACACACCCGCCGGGGGAGGAATAGGGGTTAGGCAGATACAAGTAGTATGGCCAAATAATTTGGGGAGTAGTTATGTTGTATAAGTGGATTAAAGGGGCTCAAAATGGAAAGTAGGAAACTGTGGCAGGAAATTGGCAGGTTGCTGTTAAAATCAGAATGGGAATGATGGCACGCAACAGAAAGGGAAAGGCAAAGACGCAGTGGAGACATTTGAAGGGCACGTGCCAGGTGGCAAACTCAGAATGCAGGACCAATGGTGGTAACAGAGTGGTACTGAGGAGGCTGAGGAGAGACAGGTTAGGGGTGCAGGGAAGGAGTATCAGGGTGAGTGATATGTTTGAGAACGTACTATGCAATGCTGCACTTTGAGTATGTTTGAGGTAGAGCTCAACATTCTTGCTTCAAAAAATTATTGGAGATCGGTAAGAGGGAATGCTAAAAGGGTCACAAAATTGTAGAGTTTTGCATACAAAGAGGACTGGGACACATGGCTTTTATGGATGGAAACCTTCTGGCACATCCCACAAAGCTGTTGCTGAGGACCACTGAACAACCTCCAAGACAAGCTGTTCCCAATGCTTCTGAGCCAGCCTGTTCCATCCAGGGCGATTCTATGCAAAAATAAAGCTTTCCAAGACTAAGCCAACGTCTACATCTTCTGTTCATTGGTTGTGGAACAAGACCAGTTTCTCTTCCATGGTCAGCACTTCACATCTTTGAAAACTAGAACCAGGATCTTCCCACCCTTCTCGGTCTTCCCCAGTCCGGGACCTCAGGCCTTTTGCCTGTGCTTTATTTGACACGGTTGGGAGTCTCCTCAACAACCCAGTCCTCTGCCCTGAATACACACCGGCAGGTTCATGCAGTTAATGAGCTTTAATGCTTTCATGCTACATAGCAAAGACCTCATATTTCAACAGAGTTGGAGTGAACTGAGTTAAGGGGAAGAAAAAACAAAAAGATTCTGTCCCTGCTCACCACCTCTGAGTGCCTAATCTTACCCTAACATTCATACCTAAAGCTGAAGAGCCTGCTACTTACACAATATCATTTTTTTCTGCAGCAAGTGCTTCATAATGCCTAACTCATGCAGTATTTCTCAAACTGAGGTACACAGACACATCCTCAGGGGTGCGGCAGTTCTAATTTTTATTTTCTTCTTGGCAACAGACTAAAACATTTCACAAAGCATAACTGGGGCATTGGATGACCACCGTATAACTAAGAACATCCTCCACCGCACACACCCAATTTCAGTGCCTGCTTTGGTATTTCTTTACCAATGAACTATTTTTGAAAAAAAAAAAATTCACTTTTATTGTCATAGCCTAATGAGAAGGAAGCAGAGCTGGACTTAGAGTGTCAGTGATGCGTCTGTGCTTCTATCAGTGGAAAAGAAAGTCTCCTGGTAACTGGAATAGCGTGTCGTTTGTCCTCAGATCAGTGGCATCAGCACCACCTGAGAACTTGTTGAAAATGCACATTCAGCCAGGCGCAATGGCTCAAACCTGTAATTCCAGCAATTTGGGAGGCTGAGGCGGTCGGCTCTCTTGAGCTCAGGAGTTCGAGATCAGCCTGGGCAACATGGTGAGATTCCATTTCTACAAAAAATACCAAAATTAGCCAGGCATGGTGGCACACACCTGTAAGTCCCAGCTACTTGGGGGGCTGAGGTGGGAGGATCACTTGAGCCCAGAAGGTTGGGGCTGCAAGGAGATGTAAGTGTGCCACTGCACTCCAGCTTAGGTGACAGAGCGAGACCCCGACTCTTAAAAAAAACAAAAACAAAAAGCAAAGAAAATGCACATTCCTGGGCACCACTGCACATCTCCAGAATCAGAAACTCTGCGGTGTTTTTGCAAGCCCTCCAGTGCTTCTGATGCATACTCAAAAAACTGGAAAGATCCTGGAAGAATGACAAGTTTTAGGGGAGTTGAGGCATCACAAGATGGGCCTGACAATGTTGAAGAACCTGTGCCCAGCAGTGAGAACTGCACTCATGCTGTGTATAGCCGTTCCCTTCCCACAAAACATTAGCCATTGCATTCATGTTGCTCATTTGAATATTCTGGAGTTCTTTTACTCTCGGTTATATTTAACCTGTAAATGAGTTTTGGTTTTTTCAGTTGTATAGGGCCATAAATAAAAGGAGTTTAATTTGGGGCTCATGTACTTATAAATAACATTTAAAGAAAAATAACTCATGTCAACACACACAGTTATGAAGAATGTTCTTCCTTTAAAAAGACAGTGTATAATACTCAAGTTTGCAGAACACTGCTCTATGACCTTTTCTATTCCCTTTAATTTTCAGGGTGTACCTAGCTTCCTGTCCCAGGTGGGGGTGTCGTATAGTGCAGATGCCTCTAGGAGGTAGGACATCATGATAATGGGAGGGGAACCCCACTAAAGGGGTTTGAAGAGCATATGAGGCCAGAGGAGCAACTGTAAAGCCTTTATGAATGGTTCTTTCTTGAAGGAGACCCTGAGCCACCAAACTGCTTGCCTCCTTGTCACCGACTGGCTTCAACAGATGCCAAAAGTCTCCTCAAGTCACTGCATATTACACTGGTCTTTGCCTCTCTCCGTCATCTGGCTGGGACCACAGATAAGATGAACAGATGCTTGTCTTCAAGATGGCGCCAGAGCCATCCAGGTGGCAGGTCTGGCCAGGGTTGAGCAAGTGGTTTTTATAGCAACTTTAATTGATGACTTTACAAACTGATTCCAGAATTCCATTTCTCTTGGAGGAGTTTATCATCGATGGGGGAAAAAAAAAAAAAAAAGAAGAAGCAGCTGTCACAAATCCTTAAAGAGGACCCACCTCTCTCATCCTAGGG